CAACAAATAACTAGCAAAAAATGCCACGTAAAAATCCAGCAAATGTACAGTAAAAACCAATTGGTATTATTTTGTTTCTTTTGGAGTGATTGTCGCGTAAAACAAAAATCACGTGCTCACAACACCTACTATTGCCTTTAACCTTGCTTCTCCCTTTCCTTCCATTGTTAGCCTTTGTGAGGCTAAGAAGAGATTATTTCTTTCAAAGATCTAGACGAAACTAAAATCTCAGCTATAGAAATCCCCACAGACGGCGCCAAATTATTTGACTCAAAAGATATTGGGATCTTTTTGAATAAATCAACTTAAGGAAATGAATGGGTAAATCTTAGCTAAGTATAATAATCTCTAGAACAAAATATATACGAGATGAATCAAAGGATAATATTTCTTGACCTTATCAAGAATGATCGAACAATACTGATATTAATCGTTTTATAAGCAAGTGTTCTTAGTTGGGGAAAATGCAGAAGAAGCCCTCTACAAGGTTGTCTTTACGCTATATATATAAGGGACAAACTCCTTCTAAGCCCTAAAAGACGAATGATAGAGAATATTCGAAAGAATATTCCTAATGTCCCCTAATGGACCTACGCTACTGCGAAGGTTGTACGGTCTCTTGTTCTCTTGTTCTCTCGTCTGTCGTCCCCTGCAGTGATGTCAAGCTACGAGGATCTCGTCGCTTGTCGTACTCATCAACAGTCGTGGTCGTCCAAATTTGGACCCATACAACTATATTTCGGGTTATTACATGGAGATTTCTTCATTTGTGTTCCAAATCTTTCCTTTAATTTTCATTAAAAAGACATTGAAAGAAGTGCAGCTTTGCATTTTTATCCATGGCGTGTGAAAACTCAACCTAATGAAGACTCAAAACTAAGAGATCAATTCCTTTAGTATAGACTAGATGACTTATATGCATGTTTCTAATTATTGAAATGAAACCATGTGAATTTAAAGTTTATTACTCTGGTCTCTGTCTAATTTCATTTAAAAAGAAGCTGACACTCCTAAAACAGCAATCAAATTTGAGGATTATCCTTCCATACTCTAATTTCTTGCCTCTCAAGTTCTTGTTTAAGTGTATTGTTCATTTGCAGCTTGACACATTATTTGTTAATAATCTTTGTGTTGCTCTGTTTGTTTCTAAGTCGTATTCTGTCTGCAAAACTTTGAGGAAAATTCTTAATTCAATTTCTGGAATTCTATTTTCACATCAATACTAGATTCAAGTCTAAAAACTCTTTTGTTCTAAGTTTATTATATTGTTGTTCAGTTGATAAATTCTCTCTGTTTATCTGCAGAGAATATTTAGGATAGAAGCATAGTTGATTGAACGTTATGATGCGAATTGAAATTGCCCAACTTTTGGAGCAGACGCGAGAACCCGATTGAAGTATCGAGTAGAAGACAAAGATCGTAATAAACGAAACCTGATCATACATCTTGACTGCTTAGATTTTAGGGAGTTATTCAATTTCTTCTATCGTATGAACTATATATTCTTATGAGAAGGGGGAAATAACAAAGGTTGTGGTGGAGTGGTAAGTATTCTTTTATCTTTAATCAAAGGTTTCGGGTCCGAACCTTAGGTATGAAGTCGCCTTTGTTAGGAGCTCTTTACCCCCAATGCGGATACCAGATACCGATGGGATAACCAAAAAAAAGAAAAGACGAATAGTTTGAGATGCTGAGAAAAGGGTGTATCTTGTGAATTGCCATTATTAGGATTTGCTGTGAAATTTCAACATTGAGAAGCTGGTGTTATATGGGAGGAAATATGTTTTTGTACTAAATTTGAATTACCATACAAAAAATCAAGAGAATTATTCTGCAACTAATATAAGCTAGAGTATGAATGTCAAAATCTTAAAGCCTAAATCAGACAATCTGATTTGGAGATCAATTTGCTTCTATGAGCTGGAGTTTCAAAATTGAAGTGCCAAGCTTGAAGAAATGAAAATAATTTATTCTACCATCAAATCAAGAGAGTGCAGATTTTAAAGATGTCGCAAAGACCTCTAATTCCTTTAAGCCTTCTTCGGGGGATTTTGCTTCACCTAGTATTCTTACCATCGCACTACCAACAATCACACCATCAGCTCCCCATCCTGCCACCTGCAATACATGCATCAAAGCAAAATAATAAATAACCATTTTTTAACTCTCAGAAAGCCTTGTTCCAAGTCATTGAAAAGCTTACCTGCTTGACGTGCTCGGGTTTTGATATACCAAATCCCACAGCCACTGGTTTAGATGTTGCCTGTCAAAGAGCAAAGGACAAGTTTCCCACGGGCTCAATAATTTAGGCCTAAAAACTTGGGGGGAAATAAAAGGGAGATGCTTCGGAGAGGTCAAACCCATGTTTTATTGCAGGCATCCAAGTAAATTGGGTAATGATAATCAAAAGGTAATTTGTTTTGTTTACTTTCAAAAAACTGAATCTGACCCAAGAATCAAATTCTCATGATTGAGCATGTGTATTGTAGAAATCTAATCGGAGCTTTCAGATTTCACTTAAGATGACTCGGACTTCCCTAGACCAAGATCTGAGCAATCACAGCACAAGGATGGTGCTCAGCATTCTTTTTAATCCTTGGAGTCTGAAGTGGTTTCAGAAGGCAGCAGGACCTGGTTAAGTCCAAGGAAGCCCCTGCCTGCATTCTATAAATTGCCGCCAAAAAATAGCAAAATATTGTGTAATTCAATGGACACTTCTTCGATCCAAGGATGATTTTTTTTTCTTCATAAATTTTCTTTTTTAGTGATTTTTTCCTCAAATTCAAGGATGAATTCGCAATTCTAATTAGAGAAGAAACATCCTGAACATTTGAAAGGAAAAAGAAAGAAAAGAGAGAGAATATCTGAAGTTTGAATGAGCAAGTTAAGTAGATTTAAAGAAGCACGTAGAAGCGAAAATTTTCCATCCAATGTTCTTGGTGTCCTTCAAGAGAAAGTCTACTATGCCGAGATATGTATCTTTGAACTATATATCAAACCAACTTCTGGAAGACCATCATGCAGAACATAAGAATTTAAGACACAATAGCTTAGGCATTATATGGAAGACGTGAGAATTATAAGAAGCATAAGCCAAAACCTCTTTAATGTCGATCAGGAGCGATTGAACCTTCGAACTGACAGATTCACGAGCTCCAGTAACTCCAATTGAGCTCACCTACAAGTTCAAGAACTAAATAATAAATTTTTACTAGCAACAATAGAAGCGAAACGAAGAGATTGTCACCAGCATATCTCAAGTGAACGAATTCATTAGAAATATCCATAAATATTGGTTCAATTTTTCACACTCTCATATCTATGGTACATGTAGATTTTAGCACTTTTAATTTATTGAAGCTGACACTATAAATATCAGCAAGTATGATCCCAAAGCGCTGCAGATCAATCAACCCCTGCTAAAAATATGCATTTACATCACACCGTTCAATCCACAGGTTGTAATTGACTAGCTATATTCATGGGTGCCTTACATTCTGTTACTCAAAATATGATTATTATAAATTGAAGCATGAATGAAGATAATAGTCCATTAACATGTGGTATAGGGAAAGAACTTGAGGTTGATATGCAAACTGACGCTCATCAAGTGATCACCAGCCAAGAATCTAGATTACTGCAACCACGTGTGCATAATTGAAAGTGAATAAATTCCAGAGCGAGGACCAAGAAACAAAAGGGAGGGTAAGACATTGAATAAAATCTGAAAATGTTGCACCTTCTTTGTAAGCAAACGGCAAAAACAGTAATGGTTAAAACAGCTTTCTACTAAACGAGAGGGAAGTTCTTACAAGATACACGAATCCTTCCGACGCTTCAGTAATGGCTTTCATACGAATTGTTGGAGTAGTCGGTGTTGTAAGCAATACCTAAAGGAAAATGAAAATTCAATTTTTGAAATGGGAAACTAGGATAAGGCAAATATGTTTTCATTGAGGAAAAATAGTACAGGTGAATGATCAAATGCTATGCTCAATCCAAACAAGAGGAAAAATTTCGCAATATCACTAAGCATTCACATCAAGGTCACCAAAGAAGAATAAGACAAAGAAATTCGAATAAAAACAAGAGAAGACAAAACAATGAAACAAAATTGATAACCTCTTCTAATGGAGGAACCTGCAGAAATTGTTCCTTTTGATATATCATCAATATAGACTCTATGAGTCCACCCTCTACCAACAAAGAAATTCATTGTCCACCATTTCCAAGCACTCCATGACTCATGCAACATAAATAATAGCCTCATAATTTGATTGACAGAGTCATATCTATCAAACTTCAAATACATCTGTTGCATTCACCCAGATGGCAAAAATGTTCTTTTCTAGTAAATGATAGTATGCTATTGTCCTATACACATGTAAGCATGTCCATGAGCATGAGCAAATCACATAAAGGCAATTACTCGTGACTCAGAGTGGAGTATAGACTAAGTAAATTTGCTATGTAATCACGAAGCAGATATATCACGTGAAACTAACTGCACACCTAAGGACTGAGGTAAAGGATTTGTTTATTTTTAAACAGACAAATGAAGAAAATTGTGTGTCGAGACTTTGGGGCATCTCATGAGAGTTGGAAATTGCGATAGATATTTGGCACAAAGACTAACCAATTCAATATTACGCCTAGCAGCTTCCTTTCTTAAAATTTCAGTTTCCTCAAGAGGGACATCTGGAACAACAAGTCCTGAAAAGACACAGAATTGTCATAGCGAGACATATAACAAGTCAGAACGAAGAAAACATACGACTAGGTCAATGGCGTGAAAGAAGACCGCATTATCAGCACCATGTTGTATAATGCAACAACTGAAATAAAGAAAACTCATTCACTGCAAATCTTCAATTATTTCCAGGAAATAGCTAATATGCACCCACACAAACCAATCAACACTTGTTTGGAACTAAGGTGCAGTTGTTGTTGTACAAACCAATCAACATTTATTTAAGGTATAAGTCATCTCCACCAACAAATGTTATAGACAAGATGGTGGAACAAAACTAAGATGGGAAATTCCAATTACCATGCAAAATAGCATAAAGGTTGCATCAACCACAGGTTTTTTCAGCTTCTTTTTCTATCTGTAAAACTTTTTGCTTTTACTTACAACGCGTCTATACTGCAGTTTTTGTAAGATGTACTAAGTTGGATGACAAAATGCTTTTCTTTAGGAAATTGATAGAAGAATTTTACACAGTTCAATCGTTTTAGTGGAAATTTTTCTTTAGATAAAGTACTTAATATTTTTATTGATTTGCGGGAAGTAAACCCTTATGTATACCAGAAGTAGAGAATCTCCACGTCAAAAAAAGTTTGATACCTTACAGATCTCAACCAACTAATACTAACTGTGACCTCATGGTTACACCAAAAACTCACTCGTTTTAGTGCAGATATATACTAACATAGAAAGGAAAAGGAAGAAAGAAAAGCATGCGATAAGACATGCCTCATTATCAGAAGTTCAAAACTAATCAGTAACTGGTGGGGGAAAAGGAGCCCAAAATTAAAACACTAGCTTTCAAGTTGCAAAAATATTAGGGCTTAACCTGTTATAAGGTGCTAAATGATTGGTAGTCATCGATTCATCCAAAATAAATTCTCATTTTAAACAGTGTGAGCACGTGATTTTTGTTTCCACGACAATTACTCCAAAAGAAATCGAAAATAAAACAAATTGTCTTGTTGTACAATTTTTAGAATTTGCGTGGCATTTTTTGGTAGTTATTTGTAGTTTTTGCCTGTGATTGTTTCAAATATTTGAGTCTCCGCATTCCAATCTTGTATACCATCTTCTCAAAAGTTGAAGTTGGCAAAGATTTAGTGAATAAATCTGCTAGATTATCACTTGAACGGATTTGTTGCACATCAATGTCACCATTTTTCTGAAAATCGTGTGTGTAGAATAATTTTGGTGAAATGTGCTTCGTTCTATCTCCTTTTATAAATCCTCCCTTCAATTGGGCTATGCATGCAGCATTGTCTTCGTATAAAATTGTGGGTCTTTTCTCACATTCCAAACCATATTTTTCTCGAATAAAATGAATTATTGATCTCAACCATACGCATTCCCTACTTGCTTCATGAATAGCTATTATCTCAGCGTGATTTGAAGAAGTAGCAACAATAGATTGCTTTGTGGAGCGCCATGATATGATAGTACCTCCATATGTAAATACGTAGCCGGTTTGAGATCGAGCTTTATGGGGATCAGATAAATAACCTGCATCTGCATAACCAACAAGGTCTGCACTATCTTTGTTAGCATAAAACAAACCCATATCAAGAGTTCCCTTTAAATATCGCAATATATGCTTAATCCCGTTCCAATGTCTCCGTGTAGGAGAAGAACTATATCTTGCTAGTAAATTAACAGAAAATGCTATGTCAGGCCTTGTAGCATTAGCAAGATACATTAGTGCACCAATTGCACTGAGATATAGTACTTCGGGACCAAGGAGTTCCTCGTCCTCTTCTGGAGGTCGGAACAAATCCTTATTCGCTTCAAGTGATCGAACAACCATTGGTGTACTCAATGGGTGCGCTTTATCCATGTAAAAGCGTTATAAGACCCTTTCTGTATAGGCAGATTGATGGATAAAGATCTCGTCTGCTAAATGTTCAATTTGCAGACCAAGACAAA